CCGGGACTTGTTTTATTAGCACCACCTTGAACACTATTCAGTACACTTCAACATCTCTCTATTCGGACTCGGCATGCCAACTCGAACTTGTTCGATGCTCATTTGAGAGAACTACGCCGTGCTCGTGACTTGCTCAAGTTCTGCGTCGAAGTGTGTCAGTTATGCAGGGAGCTCAATTTGACCTATGCATTTGAACATCCATGGGGAGCTACATCATGGAGCGAACCTTGTTTAAAACGATTGGTTCAACAATCAGATAGCTATTTAGCTAGAGTGGACCAATCTCAATTTGGATTGGTGAGCAGCCAGGGCAACCCCATGAGGAAACGATCAGGCTTTCTCACTAACCACGTAGAGATTGCGACGAACCTCAACCGGACGTGCCATGGTGGCCATGAACACGAGCACATAGTCGGTCGAGCACCTGGCGACATGGCAAACCGATCCAGGATGGCTATCCACGGCTCCTCATCCAGTGCATCCTCGGCACCTATGCTGCTAGTATTGGGCTGAACGCTTCGGAACTTCATCACGTGCATCCACCATCCTCGACATCGACGAGCAGCTCACTAAGAAGTTTTTCGCTTGCCGTGGGAGATGTAGTACACCACCGGGTGGGAGATGAAGTATCACCGGACGTGGGAGTTGCTGAATGTCATGCCATCGATGATAAAGAACCAGGAGGAGACCACGATGAAGAGGACACCAAGACGACAATGGATTTCCCAGGGGGTCATCCGCTGTCACTCCCTGCGCTGGTCAAGAGAGCACATGAAGGACTCGGACATCCGGGACAAGAACGTTTCATTCGGATACTGAAAAGCAGTAAAGCTTCAGCTCAAGTCCTGGATATTGCCCGGAACCTCAAGTGCTCCGTTTGCGAAAAGTTCAAAAAGCCCAAACCATCCAGAGCTGGTGCCCCTCCAAAGGAAGTCGGACTCAACAAGGTCGTTGGAGTAGACTCCATTCAAATGAGAACGGGATTCTCCCAGAAAAATAAATACTGTTTGAACATTTGTGATTATGCTTCACATTTTCAAATGGTGATCCCACTACATGATCACACCGCTTTGGCGGCTCGACAGGGATACAGGCAGTGGATCAAGGTCTTCGGCCCGCCTCGCAAAGTGCTCTGTGACTTGGGAAGAGAATTCCAGAAACAATTTGAGGACTATGCGGAAGCCGATGGCACCGAACTTCTACCCTCTTCTCTGGAAACTCTAGAACAAAGGGGCTTCGTTGAAAGACAGGGACAACTGTTCAAGGAAATGGCCTACAAGGTGATGGAACAGATCTCCTGTAAGGATTGGGACACCTGGAAGGAAGTCATCGACATAACCTGCCACACAAAGAATAGACTTTCCAGCGGGGGCGGCTTTTCACCGGCGCAGAGGGTTTTTGGGTATCAACAACGAATACCAGGTGGTCTAATGTCCGAAGGAGAAGATGATCTAGCAGTTCAATGCCGCTGCGCCGCAGGTGACCTGGGAATTCAGCAAGCAATGGACATGGGTGAAAGTGCAGCCAAGGCCTTCCACGAGACCGACTGTCGTCAAGCTGTCCGAGCGGCCGCGACACATGGCCCTCGACCTCACTACGACTACCAACCGGGCCAAGCGGTATTCTTCTGGAGACGAGGCACTGATCTAGCTCGAAGGTCGGCAAATGCCTTCTGGCATGGACCCGCCAGAGTCATCGCTGTCCAACTCCCAACCACGGTCTGGCTATCATACAACCACTACCTCATCAACGCAGCTCCGGAGAAACTCCGACCAGCATCTGAAGAAGAGCATTTATCCCTCTCCGGGTGGCTTGAAGGCATTGGACATGCCAAGAAACAGTTCAAGACGGACAAGGTCAAGGGAATGATCGACCTAAGGAAAGAACAAGATACTCCACCAGAGGATAGCGAGGCCTCCGAGGACTACTGGACCCGTTTTGGGAACTATTGGATCAGAGTCCACGAAAAACCACGAACAACCTACTTCCATCCAGAAGATCCTGACGGACAACCGAGACCATTTCTTCTTGAATATCTAGATGATGGGTGTCGCCACGAAATGATCATCCAAGGTCACGACACCCAGATTGAAGAAACCACCTGGGGACAAGCCCGATGACAGCCTACAGCCAACCAGAACGTGGACTGGAAAGACATGGTTCCGAATCCGGGAACAACAACCAGAACAAGGTGTGAAGAGACCGGATATACTACCACCTCCCGCTCGACGAGTCCGACATAAGGCAACGATGGATGCTGAAGGCCATGAACTCAAAGAAGGAAGACAGGACAATGCACCAGTGGGAAAACCAAAAACCAACGATGACAGGGTGAGGAGAAACAAGAATTAAATCCCTCTCCAGAGTATGAAGAAGTAGAACCAGATCCACCACCGGGACTTCTACCTCATCAAGTGCAATTACCCAGTGACGCCTCGGCTGGACTGACGACATACACCCCATCCTTGGCTCCTTCACAAACCTGGTCCCGTGATGAAGCTGAGAAAAGACCAGGAGGTGAACATACAGAAGACCGCTGGGAAACCATTCCACCGATGAAGAAATCAAGACTGGAATTCCTCGAGGCACTACAACTTCAACTTGGACCTCGAGGCGCAGCACGACCAGGCAAGAACCGAGGGCGCTCCCTTAAAGACTTCAAGGGAAAAGATCTCGAAAGGTTCAAACAAGCAATCCACAAACAGATCAACAATAACTTGGGCACTGGAGCCTATGAGATCCTCTCACCAGCAGAATCAACACGGATCCGGAGATGCAAACCGGACAAAATCATGAAATCCCGCTACGTGTTCACGCGCAAGCCCATCGAGGATTTTGCCCTGGAGGATGCCAAATCAGCGGACATCATACTGGACTCCTCCAATAACGATGGTCCAACTAAAGCAAAGTGTCGACATGTTACGATGGGCTTCAGCGAGCCAGATCTCCTCAGCCTAGAAACGAGCACACCACAAGTTCATCGGGACTCCGTCATCTTCGCCACACAGATCCTGGCATCCAAGGGTTGGCAACCTGGATACGCGGACTTCACTCAAGCATTTCACAGTGGAGACGCGATCAATCGGGAGCTATATGCAGAACCACCCCGAGAAGGCATTCCAGGTGTTGAGCCGAATCAACTGATCAAGTTGAAAAAGACATGCTATGGGCTCACGGACGGTCCATCGGCTTGGTTCAAACACATCGTGAAGTACCTCACGAAGGAGTTGGGATACCGGCAGTACATTGTGGACCCGTCTCTTCTTCCTGGACAAGGAGAACATTTCGGAGAACCTCCAGGTGGAGGATACAGAATCCATCGAGGGCATCGTCGCCTTGGCAACTGATGACCTACTACATGGAGGGTCACAACGACACTTAGAGCGCATGGAAACACTTCGGAAAAGGTACACCCTGGGAAAGTACACCTGGGGACAAGGACGCTTCGTTGGCAAGGACTTCACTCCACTGGCCGATGGCTCCATCCGTATCGACCAGGAGTTCTACGTAAAGGCCAGGGTCCAAGACATCCCAATCACCAAGGAGAGGAAGAGACGAAAGTACCCTCAATGCACTCCACTAGAAGTTGAACTACTTCGAACTCTTCTGGGCACCTTGGCATGGATAGCAAAAGAAACTCGAGCCGACCTAGCCGGCAAGGTAGCCCTATTCCAGCAATCCTTTCCCAGGCCCTTGATTCGGGATCTCCTCATGGCCAACCTCATCGCCAAAGAAGATCTAGTTACGCCGCAACTCGGCATCCGAGTATGCCCATACCTCTTGAACGACTTCATGCTGGCGTAGTAACTGATGCCGCCGGGGGAAATGCTCGAGAATTCGGACAGTACCTAGAAGACTCCAAGGTGGACTGGTGGGAAGAACTACAGGACCGGTGGATCAGACACCACCGCGTTCCAAGGATCACCAGCTTTCATCCAGCCGCAGCACCTGACGGGCTGGATCTTCATGATCTACTACCTGATCGTCACACCGAGATCCAGATCAATGACACCAAGAACCTCCTCCAGGACGAGTAGACCTCTTCATCAAGTATAACTTCGTTGACACCTTCGCCATGGACGGGAAAGACCATCTTCAAGAAACAACCTCAGGGACAATGTCTAGAAGCGAAGCTGATCCATGGGGGCTATGAGCAACTTCTCAAGTTGTACAGCCAAGGGGGAGAGATCACCTTCTTCTATGACCAAGACCTACCAGAGTCTCAGTCCCTGCAGAATGTCACCCTAGCCGCTTGGAAGAGCTACCGGCTCAAGAGGCGAACAGTCAACACCCTCAGCTCCGAGACTCAGGCCCTTGCTCGGGGGCCTTGGATCTGTGCACTGGTACAGAGTCCTCATCTTAGACGCCAAGGGACTCACCCTTTCGGCCCGACAATGGCAGGACGAAGTGGCCCGACTTCCGTGCGTATGTGTGACGGACTCGAAATCCTTGTTCGACACCATCAACAAGGATACCAATCCAGCCTCCCAATGTGAGGACAAGCGCACATCCATTGACATCTCGCTCATCAAGCAGGAGGTCCACGAGATGAATGGCAGAGTGAGATGGGTAGATGGCCGCACGATGTTAGCAGATTCCCTCACGAAGGATGCAAAAAGCGATTTCCTTCGAGAAGTGATGTCCTCCGGGAAATGGAGCACTTTAGAAGAAGGGGCCGCGCTACAGCGCAAACTCGCAGAGCGAGGAAGAGGCCAAGAGATCTTCTTGATCCACAGCACCTTTTGACCAAAACATAATGTGGTCGGTGCAAATCCCAAGGACCAACTTGGTCAAAAGCTGACGCCATAAACTTGGCTCAAGCCGAGCACGCAATGATCGAAAAGGACCGTAGGAACCCCTGGTTCCAGCTGCCACTGCATCCGCAATAATATATATATATATAATGTTACTGTATATTCTTGCTGAAGTGCATGGCACAATTGTCTCACCCTGGTTCCAGAACCATCCATTGGTGCCACACCGAAACCGCCGAACACACGTCACTCCGTTCCCAAGACCCGGTCAAGGGCGCTCCGCGCTCGGCGGCGAGCCACGTCCTCGTCGTACCATCCAGAGGTGGTGCCAGAGAAGGAGGTGGCCACAGCATAGCCGGACTGTGGGCTGCATTGCACCAGCCCACCTGTGGGGGGTCCATCCGCCACAAACCTGGGGCGCGAAAACAGGTGCAATCGATGAGTCATCGAGCGAAGATGACCGTCATGTCATGAGAGGACGAAGACCATGGAATCCAATGAAATGGATCGAAAAGAACGAGCATCATTGTATCAAATATGGTGACCGCATCCAATTCCTTGTCTTTAATGTGCTCCATTCAATTGCGCGTGCCTCTTCCCCAGGTTTCAATTGGATTCACCTCATCTCAGTCTCAAACCATACATAAGCATCCATGAGCACCTAGTCTGTCCTGCGTCGGTCCAATCAGTTGCTGCTACATGCCAGGGCACGGAAGGGACTTCACCGCACGAGCTCCACGTGCTAGAGCCTCGCTCAAGGTGCCCGGAGGGCTGGAGACCAAAGCAAGCATCTCCTCCTGCGCTCGAGCAGCCGCTCATTCTGGAGAAAGAATGGAGGCGGGAGGCCCATCACCCATGAGATCATCGGTGGTGCAAGAAAACATGATAAGAATTGATAAGAATTGACAAAACACGGGCGGGCATCATTCCCGACCCCAACAGTGTCGGGGGACAATCAATGTTCCACATTGTCCAAAAACGCTTCCAAAAAGAGGCTACTCCCTGGCAAGCTTGAGCGCAAGCAAAGACCTTCTCTTTAAGCACGTGCATCAAACCGGGTGGTTTGCACCGCGTTTTCGGGCTTTGCACGCGCTTGGGCGGTACATTCTCACGCGGCTTCAGTCCTCAGTGGGTGTCTGGAGGACTGCATACAAATACTTCGCACCTGAAGATCCGTCCAGTGAGCATGACATGGGCCGATCAATCAAGGATGCCGGAACTTCACGTGCGTCATCACAAGTCCCTCAAAAGGATGGACACTTGGTCTTTGAAGCTGGGTTTTTCATTGATCTTCGCATTCGCACGACCTCCTGCAGACTACAAACGGACGCTTCCGGTCACCGGAAACCCCCGATCTGCACCAAACGGAGAGTCGACTCTGTGAGAGCCACCGCAGCGTCGAAGTCTGAAGCGAGAACGTCCGCGGCGAAGTCCGCGCCCGGCGCGGGCCTGGAATCAGGAGATCACCTCGCCACTCGGAAGTGCCAATGGTCAAGGAGTCGCCTGTGACGGTCACGGCCCGAAGGAGTCGCCTTCCGTACGTGTCCCGCATTTCGAAACGCCCGGTTTGGAAGGGCCGGTGCGCCACGGAAGGAGGAAGTGCTTGGAAGCACGAGACCACTGTGGTTCCAAACAGGTTGAAAACAGCTTCAAGCCTTAGAACCCGACGCTCGAGGAGACCAGTGAAGCGCTGGTCCACGTGGCTTGTTTCAGTTCACCCTCCACCCAGATGGTGAAAGGCGCATGCCAGGGCGCGCTTCCCAGGGCGCGCTCAGGGATGAGGGGGGTGAGGGCGGCAACCCCAGGTCAGTCATTCATCAGCCTCTGTTAGGCTGAACTGCACCTGGCCCCCTAGTTCCACTCTTCTTTTTGTGATACTTGTTCCTTTTCCATCGGGGCTTGGGAGGCTACAGTGCGGTTATAGTGACCACTGCCAAACATCACCTCAAAGCCTTTCACAGAATTATGCGGGCATAGGCCCCAAATTCAGCTGTTTTGTCAACTCGTTGTTATTTGTACCCTCTAGGTGTTTGGGAACGGCATGGAAGCCAAAACTGTTTGAAAACAATAGCTCCTGATTCCCGGGTCACATGTGCAAAAACGATGATATATGTCATGATCCGAGGATGATATCAAATTCGAAACGCTGCATTCATAGCCACACGAAAACCTACTCGCACAAGGCGGTGGAGAAAGGGTAAAGCGGGACAAGGCAGGCCAAGGCGGTCAAAGCGACAACCTGGACACGGCTCCCACAAGGTGGAGAAGAAAGGGGCATGCAGGGTCCACAGCGCTACGGCTATCACCAGCAGGAGGACAAGGGGAGGACACGCAATAAGAGGACACCAGGAAGACAAGAGGGGCCAGAGGACAATAGGAGGACACAGGGTGACAAGAGGACACAGGGGACACAGGGTTCGCGAGCGCGGCCAGAGGACAGCAGGAGGACAGCACCCGGACACTAGGTTGGCTTTTCCCTCCCTCTTAGCAAAAGAAGGACACTGGAGCTTCATGGATCCCCATCTTCTCTCACTTACTTCGAGCCCTGGAAGGACAGAAATCCTGCCCCATTTTGATGGCTTGCGTGTCAACCCAGTTTGGGAAAAGAATTACATGTCGATATCATACACATGTTGGATCACAAATTATTGGTTGTATATACAGTACTTTTTGTTGAAATCGCGGGAAGAAATGGAGCTTGCACATTTGGAAGATCCGCTTTCGGACCAGCACCACCAGTTTTTGACCAGGTTGATTTCCATCCGGACGGCACCTTGGCGGGAGCTGCTGGTGTTCAGGAAGGCCAGGACCCCATCTTGCCCGTTGTCCTCCTCGGCGTGCCAGCGGGTCCCAAAAATCGCGGTTCACCAAAACCAGACTGCTCGGAGGAGCTGCAAATGCGTCAAATAGCGCTAGGTTATTGCAAAACTTTGCTAAACTGACTGCAATTGGTTGGAGCAAAATACTCATCACGAAAATCCTACTAGTTACTACTGTAAATCAAGAAGGTCATCTCAATAAAGGATCCCCTTAGCATTCCCTTGTTTGGCCGGTGAGGATGGGCCTTCCTGGTCATACAATCATGGATCCTCCCCAAAATTCACCGAGTTGTTCCCACTCAGGGTGGGGTACGGCACTTGCAGTCAGCTTGCAAACCAGGGGAGAGAGACGTGAACCTTGCCATCTTCTCTTCACCAACTTGAGCGTTCGCCCATCGCCGGGCGACAAGGAGAAGGAAGCTCCATGCCCAGGTCGAGGGCACGGTGCAGCCTGACAGGACCACAAGAACCGGTCAACTCTTTGGGAGGCTTTGGACGATGGTATTCTTGAACATGTGGCGGCGACTATGGGTTAGTTCGGGAGGTGGAGGGGCACATGGCAGGGCGTCGCATCCCTTTGCAGTGGATGGAAGTGCAGGGTCATGATTGAAACATGTGGATCGCAAGTTGCAGCTTTGGGGCCACCCAGAACCTCCCAAAAGTGTTTCAGGGGAGTGAATGTTGTAGGTTTTCCAGATTCAAATCTCATATTTGTCTTGCATACCTGCCCTTATTGTGTACAGTATATTTAAATACATACATACATACATACATACATACATACATTACATTACATTACATTACATTACATTACATACATTAATTACATTACATTACATTACATTACGTTACGTTACATTACATTACATACCATGCCATACATACATACATACACACACAATACATCCAAGAGTCGTACATGCATGTGGTCATGCGCGTTTCGGTCAAAAAGGCATTCACTGGTCAAGGGTGTCCTTCCATGTGCACGTCATGCAGATCAATCAACCCAAAACATGGCACACCCGATCGCACCGTCCGTTCAGCGAGGCCGGCCTGGGCCGCCCTGGACTGTGGCGCTCGGGCTTGCCAGTTGGCCCCCCACTTGAGTGGAGACCGCCTGGCGATGTCTGCACGGATGGGTGTCCAGTTGGGTGGGTCCACGATTCTTTGGATATGAACCGCAAGTGATATAGATATATATATATATATAGAGTAGCAAGTGAGATGCTAAAAGCCAACAAACATGGTTGCTGAAATGTTTCATCTTGCTAGCGCAATGCACCAGCAAATTCGAAGTGGAAGCGCACTAGAAAGGTGTCCAAGTGCATATTTTGGGGATGTCATTGTATAATATATATATGGGGGTGGGAGAAAAAGAATAAAAATTTTGGGGTGGGAGAAAAAAAAGAACCTGCCAGTTTGGATCATACTTGAGCCAAAATGGTATCAGGTTCTAATCACTCTGAGGAATGACCACTGTCCACCCTAAGCCTGCCAGACCTGAGACAGTCATATAATTGAGGTTTCAACATATGTTACTGTTTCAATGTTACTTTGCCTATTTATGTACGGTTGCCCTTATATCCGTTGAGAGCAAATAACAAGTTTAAAAAATTAATCACATGTCAAACACATACACAATCAAAAATAGTCGGCCTATCAGTTTCTTGTTGGGAGGTGCCACTCTTATCTTCCTCAGCAGCATGGAATTGGACAAACGCTGGTGTGCCGAGGGCCAATCTCCACGAGGGAAATGTTTGTTATGCACCACAAACCAACATGTCTGAATCCTGCAAGATAAAAACATCTTAGGATGGCCTGACAGCATGCTGACAAAGTTTAGGACGTGGGGAGCATGAGAACATCTGTTTTGTCCAAGGGACACACCACCAGTGGTCCAGAAGTTGAAGTGCCTGTGTCTTCTGGGAGGCCTTCAGATGCTCCTCCCTCCCTCGCAGCTTGGCCTCATTGTTGCCCCATGGTACGTTGATGGCCACTGCGGGAAGCGCGCCATTTGAGACCTCCCAAAAAGGACTGGCTGACGCGGGGTGATGCCCTTGTTACTAGTAGCGATGCACTTGTTACTAGTAGCTTCTTGCTGCACTAGTAGTAATGCCCTTGTTACTTGTTACTATAGTAGTACGAGAAAAGCCTCTGTCAAATCGCAAACATGCTTTGCGGGCCTCTTTCGGATGCGGTGTTCTCACTATAACAGCTCCCCACGCATCGACTCGGTCATAGGTCCGTAGATTAGTGTATTCAGGTCGGTCTCTGAAGGGCCTACAAACCAAATCGTTTTGAGGGGTATGTCTTTGATCTGGGAGTGAATTTCTCTGGTCGGATCATAGACTTTGATGGCCAACTTGTATTTTTACTTTGAATGGGGCCCAGGAAGAGGCTTTGCAGAATCAGGATGCGTGTCAATCTTCTTCGAAAAGGTGAACTTTGGACCTCCTTAACAACAACAAACGGAAACTATTCAGCTTCCATGACAGACAAAAGTCCTGTATATAGAAAGGCGTCCGAGTCCCAGCCTCCAGCTGCCACACCTCCACGGAGGCCTCACCAGCATGTGTGCGAAGTTTGGTGCCGAGTCCAAACGAGAATCAAAAAATGAAAAGGAAGAAACGGTCCACTCTTCTCTTGTTGATCTCACTTCCTCCAAAAAGGTTGCTTAAAGCATCTTAAAGCCTCCTTTACAATGACCTTGAGTTTTGTCCTCCCAGTCTTTATCCACAACTTAGACCAAACGCATCTAGCATCACTGTCCAGGCCACCCAGACTTGCCCAGGCTCGGAAGGTGCGACCAAGTCACTCCTCCACCGCTTCGGCTTACTTCCACCTCAGTGGTGGGCAGGCTGCGTGTCGGAACGAGGCAGGGTGCAGGGTGGGAGCGACCGTGAAGCGTGGCGCCAAAGCCCCCCAAAGCCCTGGGCGCCAAAAACACTTCATCCACGCGACTGCGAAGTTGTAGAGACCTTCCTGTAAAGCGCCACCTCGCAGGTGCGTACGGGCGCGGCTCCCAGTTGGAAAGCTGGAGACCAAGTGAAACAATGCCGATCTCTTCCGCATCTGTGGTGGGATTCGGGTTCATGAGCTCATCACATGGATAGGACATGCACATGTCAGGTTCACTCACCTTCAAGGAACCTGGGACAACCTGCGTCAACCTTGCTGACACTCACCATTTCAGGTCTTCTCTCTTTCGGACTGGTGGCAAAATCGATGTCCAAATGTCGAAACCTCGATCATTAGATAGTCCACCATCACATGATCCAAAGCGAAACTCCCTCACACTGGTCGCCCACACAACGACGCCCATGAACAACTTCCGTTGTCGCCCACACAACACCAGGCCGACAACGACGATCGCCGTGCATGGGGGAGCCCCCCAACCAATAGGATTTTACAGTACATCTCTTCTCAGCGCTTCTCAGGGTTCCTTGTGGGCCTGACACAAACCCATATCACAAGGCGCGGGGTCTGTTACCCGATCTATGGGGTTGAACCCGCATCCCACGAAGCTCAGAATCGCCACTATAGTCACTATTCTATCATATGTTCGTCTTTCATCACCGGCTGACCCATGCAAAAGACCCGGCTATCCCTCCGTAAAAGGTCAACTCGTCACAGGCTTTCAACACTCAACTTGCTGAATCACCCCCAGAAATGGTTGATTCATGTGGAGTCTTGGGTGTTCTTGCACCCACCTTGGCTCCGGCCCCTGCATCCCCGATCCGCCGCTCCGGGCCCGCCTTCCACGGCCAGCTGTGCGCCGGCGCCGGCCAAGCTCGAGAGCTGCGAGCAGTCGAAGCCTGGGTGGGCAACGGGTGGGCAACGGGTGGTGGCCCCAAGAGATGCCCCTCGTGGTGGGCTGATCCTTCCAAAGTCTCATCCAACTTGGACAGCAACGAAGCATGGGGAAACTAGAGCACATGTGCGAGCACATGTGCTCCATTGAAATGAAGACGAAGAGCCACGATTGATGGCACCCCCTGGCGTGTGAATTGACGTATTGGGTGGGCCTCCACCAGGCAGGTTTGGCTTGTCCCTGTTTCCTGATTTCGCGGGCCGCGGCCATACCGTCAAGATGATACCTAAGAGGGCTTCGTTCACGCTTTCAGCCCAATCCCGGACGTTCATCGTCACGCCAAGAGGCTGGAGCTGTGCGTCGCGCAAGACCATGCGAAGGCCTGGAGAGTGCGGTCGTCGCCAACAAGGATTAACAAGGACTACGAACGGAGCAAGGACGCTACGAACGTAGCTCCTGGCATTACTACGAACGGGGCATTCGTGCTACTTATAACAAGGACGAAAAGGAAACCACCGAATTCACAAAGCGGTTGCCCTGGAAAATGCCACCGGTCCTCGTGCCCCGGAAAGCACTTGGTCATCTCGGGTGGTGAGAAACTCACAAGGATGGCGGAGAATAGGGTCATCATAATGTCCATAACTATTTCATACTATTTCCATGCTAGTTCGTGCACTTGTAACTTGAAACATTCAATCATATTCAATCATTTGCGGGGAGTTGCCTGGTCACGGTCTTTTCTGGCAAAGGCTCCTAAGATGCCAGGCCTTTTTATTCCTTTTTTGGCATCAACTACCCCACACGGTCTGTTTGGGTGTGGCCGCTGGATGAAGCACCTGCTAAAGAGTTTCCTGAATCCCAGCCACCGGATTGTGGATTCTCCTTCACAGTCGTGGCCTGGGCCCTAAACTGAACGCCTTCTATCATCTTTCGACGTCGAAAATCACGTCTGCCCATTTGGGGGCCTCGTGATTACCCTCGTGACCTCAAGTTCGTCCACCATCTCGATTGCAATCTGTTGCCATAGCCCCTTTTCGTGACAGGTCGCCCACTCAGCTTCCCAAGCTCAGCCTGCTAAGCTTCCCATCGCCCTCCACGCCTCGCCCCCCCCCAAAAAAACACCCACCCACCCACCCACTCGTTACTCGGAACGCTCGCTCGTCGCCCAAGTCACTAAGTTGGACGTCGTTCCGGGTGCCAGTGCAGGGTCATAGGACCCCGAGGCGTCGAAGCCTTAGGTCCGCCGTCCGCGTCTTCGGCCAGGGTCAGGGATGTTACGCGGCACCCGGCCCATGCGTTCGCCTCATCCATATCCCTAGGGCTCCAAGTGCCTTCTAAGCAGGTGTTTGAGGTGGGGTTGGAGTGTCCAAATACCGCCTGAGGAGGTACTTGGAGCCATCTATCCACCAGCCAATCTTCTCGCTTCTTATGTCCAAGACTTCAAGACGTAACGCCAGTGACGTCCAAGACGACTTGAAACCCCGCCAACAGCGCCCAACGGTTTCTCAGCCCAAGCGGTGTGTGTCCCACCCACCGGCCGGTGACACGGACACCACCGCTGCCCAGCGGCTGAAGCTACAGGCATCGGAGACGCTGCTGGGCCCCAGGATCCGCACCACGGGTGGGGCGGGTGGAGAGACCACGAGGCGGAAGACGTACTGCGGCGCGGTGGCCTCAAGGGGCGACGCCCACGGCGGAGAGACCGTCGTTTGGGGCGGCCGGCGGAGACGGAGCACAAGAGTGGGTTTGGAGGGCACCTGTTGACATACGGCCGCCCAAGAACGCTGAGCACCAAACCGGCTGAGTTTGGAGAGTTCTCTGGATCCTTGAAGTGAGGTAGACTGATTCACCTCCAAATGTCAAAGGCAGGTGGTGTACCGGGTGAGGCTGAGATACCGTGGTGGTTTGGTGTGTCCAAATCCATCTCTGGATGCCCACTAATGCCTTCTGACTTTGGTTCAATCAAATTGGAGTTGTCGGCCGACGATGCCTAGGCGTTGCCTAAGCAATCACATGAATTCCAATGAAGAAAGCACATTCATAACTTCAATCATTGACCGTATGCGGCATGCGGCACTTCTTGAAAAAGAATGCCAAGCACCGAATCTGTCCAACGCAGTGGCAGGGGGGACGTCCTTCGGTCCGTTGCTTTCCCGGCACGGAACCTTCACCCTTCCGAGACGCGGTGAGGCTCGAGGTGGTGTACCGCGCGGTGACGCGGAACTCATGGACGCTCCCGGTCTCGAAGCTGAAGGCCGCGAAGCGGAGACCACCCGGGCGGCGGTCGAGATCCGTCCTGAGTGAGACGGCGGTCACGACTGGGGCACGACTGGGCCATCCAAGCCAGTAAAGAAAAGGAGTAGAATGGAAACAGTCGTGGTGATGATGGGGTGCTCCCGAACGGACACCGACCCGGGCCCCCAAACCAAAACAATCATTACGTAGGAATCGGTTATATATTATATAATATATATATATAGATAATTGATTGACACCTTCGTCACGGGACACCTGGTACTTTCGAGCTGTATTGACGTAGAACGGGGGTGAGCGGGTGGGAGGGTCAGGGGTGGGTCATACTGTACGGACATGATCAATGCGCGAACGCGAATGTCAACGCTTTGGTTGCAAAGCATGTCGTTGCTATACACACACACACACACTAAAGATAAAGTACGTACGATATGAATGCCCAAGATTGCCCAAGCCATCACGAAACCTCAGCAAGAGTAAAAAGCCTAGAGCCCAGAGCCCGGGTTGAAATGCAGCGGTGAGTAACCATGAAACCTCAAAATCTACTATAGGGAATGTCCAAATGGCCACCAAACCATGGCCAAACCGGTTCCAAGTTCCAAATGCTCGACACGGGAAAAAGAAACACCGCTCGACACAGGGTCAAAGGGATGCCTCTTTACCAAAAACGGGTGCAAAGGCAGTCTAGCTTCAAGCAGGGTCCAAAATCTTGAGATCCTTTGTGCCCTGCTTTTGGACGGACCCTCTTGGATGGCTGTGGCCACGCTTTTCGGACGGACGTCCATTCACGTCTCTTGGGCTCTCAGACGTTGGGTGCTTGTTGTCCCAACTTCCTTCTTGGGGGTTTTCAACCTGAATCTATACCTAGCGCTTCCTGTCGGGGTGGTCTGGAGACCTGTTGACGTAGTGTGGAGATACCCATTGACCCCGAACGGAAGCAGCTGGTACCACGCAATCGATGTGGATCGGAAGACGAAGTCGTTGCCGGACCTTCGAAGAAAAATGCCACAATCTGGCCACTGGGGAGGTCAAATTCGGTTATGCCTTTTGATCGTGGTTGGATCCACAAAGCCTCCTAACCTATACGTACTCCAGCCATCCCCAGCCCTACCCAATAGTGGGACTAATAGAGCACCTCCACTCCTCCACTGGAGCCTGGCATCAGTGTCGTTGGGAGGTCGCCCCAGGTGCCGTCGCCCACGCGGTACTCCCAGGTCACCACCACTTGCTGTGGCGTCGAGGCCACGCCGCACGAAGAGGTATCCGCCTCAAAGGCTGCGGCTGGACGGCACAGCGGCGTCCCATGCAGGTGGCCATTCATTGTGGCTGGAAGCAGAAGCTGGTGGGACAGTATTGGTGAGTGGATCGAGGCCGGGCCAGGCTGTGCCTCTGACGTGCCGCATTTTGTGGTGCATGAGTGCAATTGATTCAAGATGCTTGAAAGTGTCAGGACCTTTCAACGCAAAGATCGTTCGTGCACACCTCGAACATGGCCACATCCTGGTATATGACTCAAGGATTTGCTTCATAACTTCAGGAACCGGTAAAATGTGTATAAGATTGTATAAGTAATTATATTACTTCAGCAAAAGGGGATTCACCGTGTTTTAGGGAAAACCGTGGAAGAAAAGAATCACCCACAAGACCTCCATCCACATCAAGACCTCCTCCCCAGCCCAGCGACGTATTGGGTCACCACTGAGAAGGACACTTCTTGGCCTCAAAACGGCGCGGTGGAAGGGCAGCACGGGTCCGCCCAGTGGGGACTGAATCACTTCAATGGACACCGCTGCTCGGCTCACCTCTCCAAAACCCGGAGAACCCTCTCCCATCTCTCCCCATCCTTCACACTGAAACCCCCTTAGCGAAGGCATCCTCCCGGAGCACGCATCCAGATTCTGACAACGCTGGCCTCTCCGCAGGTGGCACGTCACGAACACGCCACAGCCGTTCCACCCGCCGGGACACCTCCCGCGTTCGGGCGCGTCCTAGGGCGAATTCGGCCGGGCCGCTGTTGAGGATGGTGGCCTCTTGTGCCGAAGTGGGACTCACGATGGGCATGGGCTCCTCCATGGTCTCCAGCGTCACCAACACCGAGGCCTCGCCGGACGTCGGTCGGTCGGTGAAAACGGACCGATGGGTGTCGTTTCCACGGCGAGCCACGAGCAGCTTCATGCTGAGGGCAGACTGGCAGACTTCCACAACTGGAACTTCCAAAAGTGATGGAAACGTGTAAACGAATGGAGTCTGACCCGGATTTCACCGGATTTCCTAGGAAAAGAAAGGCTGAGGACCTCAAAGGATCATGAATCGTGAGATATCTATCGTGAGGATTTTGAGAAGATGGTCATAGGACCCGCAAAGCACGCCAGGTTGTTGTGTAAGTGATGTTATTTGTTCATTGACCGAGTCGTGATGGTTCTTCAGGGATGGTTTCAGTGTTATATTTAGAATATTATATATGTATGTGTAAAAACAGTGGGTTCAGAGTAGATGGCACAATCCACCAAAGGTGCTTGAAAAAAGACCCCCATCTAAAGGACAAGGGTTTGTGCCATCTACTCCTGAAACCCACTGTTTATTATAGCTTCGAACTCCTCCGAATTCGCTCACCTGGTCGGACTGGGCCAGCCAGTTGGTGACCTGAGCCACCAGCTCCAGCCTGAGCGGTGACGGGTCGAGGCCACCGGCAGGTGACACGGTTCGGGGTTCGTCTCAACATGGGATGACAGGATCACAACAAGACCTGCAGGGCGGGTTCAAGCTTAAATTGAGAAGAAGGAGATACAGTATAGCAAGACGCGAAGACATAAGCCGAACGCCAACGGTGTTATGTCTTAGCGAAGTCTTCCCGAGTAGATCAAGCCAAAGATGTGTACACAGCGTATACACGTGCATTATTCACGCTTTCAGCGTTCAACATTGTTGCAGAGTCTTCTTTGTTTCTTCATTCTTCTTGACGCTATAGGGATTTCCTTTGGCAAGGTCCAAGCTTCTGAACGGTCGTGGAGTAAAAGCTGCTGCCCATGCTCTGCTTCACGGCCTGCACCCACGAAACTCAAGCATGGTCGTGCAAATCTGGCGCTTAAGACTCATCTAATCAAAGCACTTGGTTTCTCATGTTCTCTTTAGCAGTCCTGAACACAACCAGAAGCAAATGGATGCTTCCCCACACAACCACTGACTTGTTTTATATAACATATATATACTGTATATATATATATATGTGTGTATGTATATATATATATATCAATGATCTCACCCTCTCGCCAAATTAGAACAACCATCTCTTTCTTGTTGTTTGGGTTTCCAGGTGGTGACTGAGTGCTGCTCTTCGTGAAAAACAGCGCTACCCGAAGCTTTGCTCATGAAAAATGATGAACGCATGGAGCTGGCTCAGCCCTGGGCCTGCACCGCTGTGTAGAACACCTCTTGCGGGATGTCCGCTCCCAGACTCAGTGGGGCTGTGGCTGGAAGAAAGGAGTGGAAACCAACGAAACCAACCGTGACCGAAGGAGCCGAAGGAACGTCCGCTGCCTCGGAGGAGACTTCCGAGGATAAAAGTTCACCCCTTTTTCAATCCATTCATATTTTGGTGCGGGCACCAACCCCAAAGGAGAGGTGATCCACTGGCTGGGTAAGGTAAGATGACCACGAGTGGAGGGTTCCACTGCGATGGGAGAGGCATCCGGATTTGGATGGATCCTTTGCCCTCCGCAGGTCCGACCCAAGGTCCATCAACGAGATGGATAATTGGCGTCCACCAACAATCCCCCCCAAAGCAGAGCTCTTTCTGCGGCTGATGGATCTCCCAAAACCTCCTCGCCAAGCTGCTCCACAGCTGTCAGCTTCCCCTGACGTGACACACGAGCCCGGTGGAACTAAGGTGGGTTCCACGAGCCCGGTGGAACCCGCGTTCCGGACACGTCTCGCATCCGAAAGACGTGGAAGGAAGGCCAACCGAAGCGCTCAGCCAATGCGCTTGGCTGTGGGGTTGCTTGTCACAGGCCCCTTGAATGCAAAAGGATGCCATGTAAATATACCCTGGCACTATCTAGAAAATACATGTACCATGTCCTGCAGTTACCAGCCAACCAAGATGTCCGTCCCCCTGTCTACTTAGACCTTTCTATCCATCTTGATCTATGATGTCGGTCGTTCGTTTGGGCTCAACTTCCCCCTTCCGACTTCAATGAAGTAGAGTGAGGGAGCTATGGCTAGGCTATGGCTAGGCTATGGCCTAGCCGCAAAGCCTCACAGGGCATCACCTTCCCAACATCCAAGCAGGCACCCACCATCCCTACCCTCCGTCTACATCCTTCCAGGCCCTTCACGACGCGGACCTAATCCATCTGTATCTCCACACCTGCAGCTGCTGCGCTAGCGCTGCAGTGCTACGGTTCCCGAAGCTCCACACCGCGCCCATGGGCCGGCCAGCACCGCCCAGAGACGTCGAGGCCGAGACCTCGTTTGCCGTTGCTCAGTAGGCCGAGACGGCGGAAGCGGCCCAACGTCCAGAGCCCGGCCACCCAACTTCCAGAGCTCAGAACTGCCAAATCCTTCCAGAATCTTCCAGAGCCCTTTGTAAAAAGTTGTTGTTTAACATATGTTAGTGATGTTAGTGATGGTTGCTGGACCGTTTCCCAAAGGCCGGAGCCTCCAGTGAAGTGCAACTCACACTGTCCGCCATCGCACCTCAAACCAGGTCCCCGTCCGTGACCGCTCTCGGCTTTCGGCCGACGGCGCATTCGGCCGACCGACCCCCGAGGGGCACCGGCGTGGCGTTGCATCAAGGGCACCGAGACTCGGCCACATTCCTGGACGCTCAGCGGTGAGGCCAAGACTGCCTGGGCGGAAGCAGGGTAGCTGCCTGCCCGACAGGAAGGGCCGGGTCCCAGTCTGAACCATCCGTCAAATATCGTGGATGGTGAGAAGCTCTGGTCAACACGCATGGTTTTGACCAATGGTCCAATTTCTGGCGCACCACAGGCACCCACCCCCACTTGGTTCACCTGGAGAGTCCATGTTCCACCAACCCGGATGGCTTAAGTTCAAATCGCCACACGGGGACTGTTTCTGCGGGGCGGCTTGAAAATCATCACAAAGCTCGAGGGAGGAAGAAGAAGAAGTAGAAGAAGAATGGATAAGAAAAAGGAAAAATATTGCATCACCTGTGTCATCTACCCCGCAGGGTCGCACCGGACCGGTCGCACCACCGGTCGCATCCGAGGTGCAGCAGTGGGTTGCACCAAAGGATCGTTGCTAAAGAGGTTGGAGACCAAGGCGGGTGTGGGCTTCACTGGGAGGTCCACCACCTGCCATCGGGGCATCACCGCATCGCGGCAGACGCCCAACACCCAGCGGTGGAGGGCCGATTTGCAGCGGAACAGTTAGGCCGGATCATGCCGGATCGACCCAGAATGAAAGGTCCGTATCGTCTGCTGGTGTTTTTGCACGGGTCTGGAGGCGTCACTCTCGCTGCCAAAATGCCTGACTGAAATCTTAATGATGAGTGTTTCAGCTAGGGGCTCCTGGCCGTACTACTAGGAACAAGAAGCTACTAGGAACAAGCTACTATAGGAAAATGCCTGAATGAATCTGAATGATGAGTGTTTCAGCACGTTTCAGCCCTCAATGGTCACCTAACAACACCTACACATTGGTGCCTTGAGGTGGTTGTGCCCCATCCTTCGGGTGAATTCCACGTGCCTTGAAGTTGGTGGTCAGGACCAGTGGCAGTGTCTCCACGCTGTCACCTCAGATCAACCATCTCTCTAAGCAGCCTGGGTTGCCGGGCCACCTCATTCAGTTCGCCCAACTTAGTTTTGCTTTCACTCACTCTTTCCTAGACTCTGTCCACCTTCGGGCTGGACAACAAACATTCAAAAGCATTCTCAACCACTTCTCAACGCAGACTGTCCTCTGGTCTGGAAACGGGTTCTCTTGCCCAGGCGCCAAGAACGATCGTCGGGCTGCTGCCCAACGTCACTTGGATATTGCGCCCATTCGCCAGCCATTTGCACTCGGGGAACGCTCCCAGCCTAGCACTTTCGGCCAAACGCATGGACGGACACAGGCGGACACAGCAAAAAAAACATATCAAAAAGACCAGGAGACCCAGATGAAGCCGACATGGCTAATTATACCTATACTCACTCACTCACTCACTCACTCACTCTCTCTCTCTCTCTCTATGTCTCTATCTCTGTCTCTATCTCTATCTCTCTCTCTCACTCTCTCTCTCTCTCTCTCAACCATGGAAGTGGAACAGGCTCAAGTTGTTCTGTGAAAACTTACTTCAGACACAGAAGAATGCCTCCCGAAGGCATGCACCGTGATAAAATGCTACTCTTCTTGTTCTGCTTCCTTCACTCCAGGCCCGATAGCCCCATGCAGATACATGTCTGATCCGGTGCGTCTGCGTCTGAAGGTTCCCGGGCCGGCAGTTCGATCTCTGTTGCCTTTCTTCATTCCGTTTCTCGTTGTTGATATGATTGTTTGACATCATTGTCCTGAATATATACGTGTGTGTGTGTGTGTGAAATATCCTTTCCCCACCCCACCATCTTCTCCTCCCAATTCCGGACGACTAAGCCGTGCACTTCGCCATCGTGCTCGCGGCGAAGACGGTGTCGCAGGCCACGTCGCCCTCCGGCTCCGGCGAGGCCAGGCGCCGCCCTCCGGTGTCCGTCAAGCGGGCGGGCTCGTTGAAGGTCAGGAGGATCCTGGGCAAGGAAGATCCTGGAAGACCGACTAGGAGATCTGTTTAGAAATGTCGGTGTTCCATTTGTGACATAATGTGACATCTTCAAGGGGTACGGTTTGGAGTCAACTTTTGATGTAAAAATCCTGGCCTTGGCTGATCTTGGCTGCTTGGTTGAGGGTTGATGATGGTTGATGAACAATGTTTGGAGCTGTGGTGCTCCTGGTGGACAAGTATAATCAACTGGATTCTACTGGCAATGGTCCAAGCTTATGCGACCATCTTGGAAGGAAGCTCTTCTAGGTGTAGCCTTGCCCCATGAACGTCTTTGGGCGAGGACATGTGACCGAGAACGACGTTCGACATCGGGGGTTGGAACGAAACGATGACTAGACATGGTCGGTCTTCTGCACCAGCCCCGCCACACACGCCACATGGAGTACCCTCGCGGGGGCTGGCAAGTCACGTGGAGTACCCTTGGGTCATCTCCGCACTGTCAATCAGCAGCGGGAAGAGCCTCAAGGCCAAGCGTGTTGGGCGCGCACGCGAAAATTGGCGCGCATCGATGCAAAGAACGATAGAGGCAACTTATGTATTTTAATGGGTGATTGATGATCCAAAATAGAGGTCGCTCAGGTTCTATATACAGTATATGTAGTTATGTAATCCGACCGTGGGCCATTCAAAGTCAAATGCAGCGTGTACCATGATGATTCGAAGTCTTTAGTGAACTGTGATTTGCAGCCCATGTGGACTGCAGGATCCCTCATGACCCCTGAGCCCAGCCGCCAAGGCAGGGCCTGAACCGGTTTTCGGGCCCTGATGTGTCGTGCCTGAGTCCGCACCAGTGCCCACTACGAATGACCCTCCAAGACTCGTCGCCAACGAACACGAGAATCCAAACCAGTCGACCGCTACCGGTCGCCATGCCAAATGCCGGCTGCGGCGCGTCGAAGTGGTGGAGGTGCTGCTACTGCTGCTGGTGCTGCTGGAACTGGTGCTGCTCGAAGTCGAGGAAGAAGTCTGAGCATCGTTGTGAATCAAGCCACTACTTGGAGCAGTTGCTAAGCCCCGGAAGCATCCGGCTCAGTACGGATATATGCCCTAAGAGGACTCAACACTCCCACAGGATCGCGGAAAGTCAAGCATCCAGGGTATTGTAAATACCTATACCCTCCGTATTGAAAATGCTCGCCTCCCAAGCTTTTCTTAAGAGGGTCCAGACTTCAAACCATGCTATTAGTCCTACAATATCCTACTGCAACCGACTTGGGGGCCTTCTGAAGACGGTTCTGAACGTTGTTTCACAACCCTGCTGTGGCAACCTTCTGCCATGCGCTGGAGTACAGCATGCTTTCTTGGCACTCTAAGGTTTCTGCAACATCTCCCTTTTGGATCCTTCTGGCGTGCGGTTGCTTGAACTTCTCCCCCCCACCCCAAACAGAAATGGTTGGTGGTGTTTTGATCCTAGACGCTCCAGTCCTTCCCAGTCCAATACCTCTTTCGGCTTCTCCAAAGCCCTTCTTCCACTCCGCCAGTGTTGCGGAGCAAACACACCTCCCTCCACTGGACTCGTGACGGTGGTCGTGCTCGAGGTCGAAGAGGTCGTGGAAGTGGAGATCAAAGAAATGGAGACCTGGCACCGCGTAACACGCGGACACCGGTCGAGACCGTCGTTTCACTGTCGTCAGGTCGTCAGGTCACCCAACTCAGGTGTTACCGGGCCATGGTCAGTGGGTCACAGGGCATGAACACAGACCACGGACCAAGGCATGACATCTACGGACCATGGTCAGTGGTCATGGCATCACGGCATGACATCATGTGGCATCTCATTGGGCACTCACAAGAACATCCCACCCCAAAAAAGAAAGACAAAGAAGAAACCGATGGATCGTGCCAGATCGATGCCATCCACCCTCATCCACCACGCCCACTATGTGGGCGGCGGCCGGATGACCCGACAACGACCCGGCCGTCACCGGTCCAAGGGTCGATGGGGCGCCGGTGCTCGCCGTGGAGAAAATCACGTCCGCTCCGGGCGGAATCGGTGAAGTGCTGAAGGAATTATAGAGAGAGATATATATAATGATACTTATATATATATATTATATAGATATAGACAGTATGTGCAGGCCTGGCCAAGTAGCGCCAGGCCTAACCTCGGCTCAGCGGCTCTAAGGGGCCTCAGCAAGACCAGTTCTCCGCAACCTCCCCTGGGATCCACACCCGTTCTGGATCGCTCAGCTCCACAAGCTGGAAGCTGCTAAAGCCCTTAGCGATTGGGGCTCTCACCCAAGGACCAGGACCACTTAAACATGGCATGCCGGCTGAATGGCTCTTCATTCAAACAACTCATGCACCGACCAAATGGCTGGCTGGATTCTCAAACATTTGCCTGGATGGAGAAGGGGGGCATTGCAAAAGAGTCCACATGATGAGCGCGCGCCCCTGTGACAGGCCCTGTGAAAAATAATGGATGGCCTGCCTAAGGGGTGGATGATTTGTTTGTGGAGCGCTGGCCCCAGTTTCTATGTTGCGTCGTGTTGGGGGAAGGTAAGAATCCAAAAGATCTCACAACGCATGTTCATGGAAAAGTGCACAAACAACATCAACATCTATACAATATCAAAGAATTCCCCAAACGCTTGAGGCGGTCATCACCCTTGAATTGCCCCTTGGGCAAAGAGGGCCCACTAACGTGGCCGAATCTGAGCCAATAGCTCGCACTTCACACCTGCGTGAGCAACATGAGGATAGACGCAATTTCCAAAACAGTCTTATTCTTGAAGGGAATGTCTCATCCACCTTGGGGGTTCACTGCAAAGCTCAGCTCTCATGTATGTCATGTATGTTGACATGTTTGTAGCCTCTTGCATCTCTTCGCATCATCGAGAGCGCCCTCTCTCCCCCACGCAACCGGCGCTCGAACATCCCCCCAGGGGAGCCCAGGTGCAGCATCAATCCCCAGCGCCTGCAACCTGAACAGCTGCGATGCACCGTGGGGCCGACGGGGCGCCCGATCACCGATGGGTGGGCGCCGATCCTTGACCGATCGCAGTGAGGCTGTGGAAGCTGCCGGGTCGTTCACTGAAATCCCAGCGACATCACCACCAACACCGATGGTTCCTCGTCCTCGGACTTGATTGGGAAGGGGTCCGATGCAGCGGTGGAAACTCTGTGACCTGGGTTTGGCCAGAAACGACCACGGCGAAAAACGGCCAACAGGCTGATTGGTTGAAACATTCAACCAGGTCGTTCATGGTCTTCCGGTACACCAGACATGATTTCCGCCCAGGTGAACTGGTGGATGCTTCCTTCTTCTCGGTGGGAGCGCCCGGTGCCGCGTTCGCTCCACCCGGCGGAAAATGCTGCGAGTTCCGCCGTCCGAGGTGCTGCGTCAGGAGTTCCGCTGAGAACTGCGACGTGTCGCTACGGAGCCCGGCCACCTTGCTGATCGCCTCTTTGGAGGGCGGCGGACGGATGCCGGGTGGAGTGGGGCGGAGGGATGGAACGCCCTGGGCGTTCGGATGGCTCTTGCGAAAGGAGGTGAATGCTGATTTGCAAAAGCATGTCGGCCTTGCTCAGTTTTGCCGGAAGCACGGGCAACCTCATAAACGAATAAATCGTATACAGTATAAAAGAGAGAGAGAGAGAGAGGGAGGAAAAAGGTCATTGGTCACTTACGGTACGGTAGAAGTGCCCCAAAATGCCAACAACTGGCCTCATCTTCCAGCTGCTCATAGACAAAGGCCTGCCAGTTCACTCTCCAGAGCCTCTGCTGTAGCCGTCGCCCGGGGTGATCCCCCTCCAGGCGTCGCACGCTGGAGGACGTGGCCTGCAGCGGCATCGCTCCAAGGGGTTCAGCCAGACGTGTGGCTTTTGGAAAGAGAAGAAGGTAATTTGTCAACCTCCAAAAATCTGAAACAATAAACCTCCAAAGAAGAACATATGAAAGGAATAAACCTCCCAAAAAAGACCCCCCACATTCTCATAGGCCGCGCATCGGCCACACACCTCGGTCGCCCCGGCAACATCCGCGCACCTTCGGCCCGAACGGATGTTCGGGGCGTTTGACGCTTCGTTCGCGTCCGCACGGGGGTCTCGTCCCAACGGTGGTCTGGGCGTCCCGACCACCGCACGTGCATGGTCCATTTCCAAGGAGGCGGTGAAATAGTTGGCCTCGACAAGCAGGCTCTGTGAGAGTTGTGGCGGAGCGGGCACGCTTTATTGTGTGGGCGCGGGGCATGGACAGGCATCCACCCTGCGGATCCAGGCACCATCCGTAGCCTTTGTAGTCACTCTATTCACGGATATGTTTGCTACTGCTAAGGATGTGAGGCACTTAGCTCATGCAGAAGCATGCCTGTAGCAAAAAAAGGCCGCCTTTCAAAGGGGATGCTGCTACTGAACAGCACTTCATCTTTCGGGTTCATCCACCTCCAATCTACCATCAAAGGTGATCTGGGTTCTCATTGGAATTTCTATGTGTTTCTCAATGTCCCCAGCACCTTTCCTCCACATGCCCGCGTCCCAGCACCCCATCTAATCTTCCGCATCTTCCCAACTCTCCCCTCTACCTACCCTGGCCGGGCTGCGAGCATCTGCTCCGAGGCCGTTTCCACCTGTGAGGGATCCCCGCCGTCGAGCACGAAGTCCATCCGCCCCACGATGCGGACCTCACGGAGAGGGAAAACACCGCTCTGCAGGGCAGGTCGGCCCGCATCGAAAGAACTCCTCATACTGGAGCTAAAGAAATAAACAAAGATTGAGCCACAACCAGCTCACTTTGCAACCTCTCTCTCTCTCTCTGTCTTTGGACGGGCCGCCCCTTCTGTTTGAAGATCTCTCACGTATGGCATCTAACGGAGGACTGGACTTGACCATCAGATCACAGAATCATAAGCAGTGGTTGGTTTGTGGGCACCCCGTAGCCACCAAATAGCCGACTGTATTGTCCATTATTTTCCCAAGTCGCCGCCACCTAACGGATATATATATATATAGGTAGATATACGTACAAGGGACCCCATGTATAATGTGACAAACTGATGCTCAATGTATTTTATAATGTTTATATAAAAGCAAACTATTAAACAATTTGATATATGTATTGTATTTACACAAATGTGCGGCCCGCAAAACTAAAAAACTAAATAGTTACTTTTTTGGTGCTTTAAGTTTTATAGTGTGTTAATAGCTCGCAAGACCAAAAAAAGTAGAACAACTATTTAGTCAAATATTTAGTTTTACTATATTGTTGATGTGGTTTTTAACTTTCAAAACACCTGGAAACCTAGGAACCTGAAGGATTTAGTTGTTCAAAGAATGTCTAGTTCTTTTTAGTACTTAGCCACCAAAACTTAAACAGTCTAAATGTTAACTTGTTTGATGTGTGTTTTGTTCTTTTAGGATTTATAAAAAAAATACCTGGAATCCTAGGAACCTGCACGATTTAGGGTTGTTTGTGTCTGTTTAAAGAACTCTTAGTTTTTTAGTTAATTTTAGTAGTCCGCAAAACTAAATGTGAAGTGTCTTTATAGTTTTTAGGGTAGCCCACAAAAGTAGAAGAACCAAAAACCTAAATATATGTTCTTTAGTCTTCTGGACTTCCTAGCAACCTGGAAACCAAAAACCTGAAGGATTTAGTCCTTTTGTAGTTCTTTTCACAAGAAACTCTCAATATGTATATAGGTCTAAGTGCGTGTTTTTACATATGTTTTCAGAAGTTAGATCAAACCTGGAGACCTGAGAGATTTAGTTCCTTTTTGCTCTTTCTGCAAAACTAAGAAAAGTAATATACTCCAGGAAACCCAGGGAGGTCAGAGATGTTGCTTTCACTTCTCTTTTCAGTTTTGCGGACTACTTAAACCACATACAACTTTAACATGAGTGTGCAGCATTTTGCTACGTTCCTCTACCTTCACAACTCTTGTAGTCTACCGTACCCTACTCTATGCTCTAACAAATCGTTCATGTTGCTTCACTGTTTCTTTTCAAAGATCAAAGATCGCAAGAGTCCAATACCACGGGTAGAGTAGTGCGAGGAGCCAAGAAACACACCATAGACCAGGACTGCTATGTATTATGTTTAGTTTGTCGCTTCTGCTTTCTTGCAGTGATATACCCTACCCTGTGCTACTTCTCCTGTTTGTATCCAACCTTCTACAGTACATTTTTTCGCGTAGTATACTATCTTAGTTGCATTGAATTTGTTTATACTGTATAATCGTTTTTGAATAGAATAGAATCACCCCCTAATATACAGTAACTAAAATGTAAACCCGTTCATAACCTCCTTTTGGTATTTATGCATCTAAAGGCTTTGCAAGCAAATGATGCACCCTAACGCTCTGCAGGATGTCCTAGAATTGCGCATGCAGTACGTTTTCACTCTGCCCTTTTGAAACCCTACCCTCTCTCTACAGTACTTGAAGGAAGGCATGAAAGGAAGACTTCAGATCGAAATGATACAGAAAGTGAAACATAGATGTTCTGGTCTGGTTGTAAAGCTGCACAATGTCCTGGACATATGTCAGTTTTCCTCTCATATTCTTTGTGTTCATGTTCATATCCTCCGTTACTCAGAAAGCAGGCTGCGCAAAAGAAGAGTAGGAGGAATGGATGACGCAACAAGGATCAACAAGGGTGAAGAACAGGATTGCACAGCAAATTGCACACCCATGATATATTATGTAATTCAATTTTAGTCGCAATAATCCCATGGGTGTACTCTGTCTGCAAGTATGCTCCTCTACTCTGCGTTCCTCTACCTGGATAACTAGTCTAGTCTATATTACCCTACCCTAGTCTTTGACACTGGTTAGAGGCAAGATCTTTGCACAGCCGACCAGAACCACCATGTACTTCGCCAACCGTAGACCAGGACTACTATATTATACAGTTTATCAACCTGTGTTCGCTTGTGCTTTATCTTTTACCCTACAGTACCCTGTGCTACTTCTCCTGTTTCTATCCCGCCTTGCTCGACATGTGTTCGGGATAATATATTACCCGAGTCTCATTGGATGTTTGGTACAATCGTTTTTCAGAATAGAGTGGAGTACAGCAGTTGGAACGAAGCTAAATTGGAGAGAAGTCAGAGCTTGTGATATTACACGTAAAGGCCCCCGAGTCAAACATACCATATACAGTATATATATATATAGTGGTCCCCAAATAGATAGAACGGTTTCCAATACATCTTGAGTGCTTGAGTGGGGATTTACTTTTCTATCTATTGGTCTATATATATATATACCGCAAGGGTTGAAGCACTCCCGAGGTCTTGCAGAGGAACTGGCACACCCACCCTCATCCATCTCCATCCATCCCATGCCCAGGATCCTCTTTCGGTCCCAGGTGCCATCAGATCCACCGTCGTGGTCGTGGACGAGGAGGAACTACTCGAGGTACTGCTGGAGCTACTCGAGGTCGTGCTGGACGAAGACACCGTCGAGGAGGTCCTCGCCACCCGCTGCGCCGGGTGCCCCGCGGAGCGCCGCTGGGCTGCGCGGCGCTGGGCTGCGCGCTCCGCGCGTGGAGTCCGCAGAAAGAAGAGCGGAACCGGGCGGGGTTCCGTGCTCTGTGGGAGGGAGGGGGACAAACAATGGAGTCATTTGGTTATTCAATGTTATTCATGAATTATGCCAAGACTGCCGAGAGAAGAGTCCATCCCTAGCAGCTGTAAACCAAAAACCTGGTGACCCCGAGTTGCACTACCTGGGTGCGAGTTCACCGTGGCTGCGGCTCGATGCGTGTGAAGTGCGAGACATGATGTCAGGACCTGGTCATCAGGCCAACAGGTTCAGTTTCGTGAATAAGAGAAGAGTGCCCCGAGAACACTACTTCAGGGATCTGGCCCAGGCCACTTCAGGGATCTGGCCCAGCGATCGGCAAGTGCAAGTCAGGTGGGTCCAGAAAGCAGGAGGCGACAATTCGATCACGTCCAGCTGCATCTGCCGCAATCCCAACATCAACTCTTGCAGGTCACGACTGACCTCTCTCCAACCACTTGCGTCGTTCTCTTTCTCTTGCTGACCGGGGCACGACGAGAAGGTGGTTGAAGAGGACGAGCTGCTGGTGCCTCAGAGCACCACCCCTTTTTCGCCCCAAAAAGGAGATGTTGACCAGCAGCCCATCGGCAGAGGAAGTGACTATGTATCGGGTTCCCATGCAGTTTGGTAAGAATTCCGATTGAAACTCATGGTGTCCCGGACGTGTAGGGTCGGGGATGTGCTCTTACTTACTGAGTGGATGTTTGGTCCATCAACTTGTAGGCAACTGGCTAGTACCGACGGCACATCCAGCAAACAAGCAGGTGCCGAACAATCAAAAAGGGGCCCGGCAAATGTCCATGAACCTGCCAGATCTGCACGTGCAGCTCGCAGCTTGCTGCAACGCTGCGCTTACTCACTCCATCGCAGCTAAAATGGGCCTTCTGGAAAATGGGAAAACCCTTGTCTTTGGTGAACTGGGTGGTGTGAGGAATTCTTCAGGTGCGAAATGGATCGGTCTTGCCGCCAGGCGACTGCTACTGGAGGAGCTGCTCGTGCTGGAGGAGCTACTGCTGCTCGTGGAAGAGGACGATGCCTCGGTGGTGACCATCAACCTCAAGCACTGACGTGTCTGTATTACTGCATCTCTTCTTTCAGTCTGAAATACCGCGCCGAACAGCGGCTCACTGCTGACCAAAGTCCAAAAACGGTAACAGCATGGCAGCGCACTGAGACGTCACAGAATGCCATGTCAAAAAGGAGTCCAACAAGATCATTATCGGACCCGCTCAGTTGTCCTTGAAAATAAAGCTTAGCAGCTAACCTTATTGACCTTCTTCCACCTGCTTGTTTCTAGGGCCGCCAATCCCCCTCGGCTGTTCTTGAACGCAACCTGACCCAAGGTATCTCAAGGCACTGTGGTGCTGGATGACGTGGCGGTGGTCGTGGTCGAAGTCCTCGGACGTGCAAGGCACGAAACAGCTTGAAGATTTGGAGTTTCCCGAATTTGTTTGTGGCTCTTTTGTATGGTGAGTCCCGAATTCCCGAATTTGGATAGACCGTGGGAATTCCATGTATGGTGATTCTTTGGGGATTTTGCTCGGAAATCCCAGGGGGTGCTCTGCAAAGCTTTGGCACGGGATGCGTTCATGTCCCACGCTTTGGAACCTATATAAATATTGGTTGTGTCGCCGTTGTGTGTTGCACCCTGCTCGGTGAAACATGCAAAAGGAAAGGAGTGCCTTTACATAATTAGGGCAAAGCATGGAAACTACTGAGCTTCTGCCCCTTTCTTGCTCGTTCTTGATTATTGCATGGTGCTTTGCTCGCAGTTCCTTCCTTCCTGGCTGGCTGGCTGGCTGGCTTGCTTCCTTCTGCTTCCTTTCTGGCTTCTTTCTGCTTCTTTCTGCTTCCTTGTGCTTCCTTGCTTGCCTCTGTCCTTGGTTTCTTCTACGCTTCTGGCCTGGCAGAACAACAAAAGGAAACAAGCCTACAAAAGAAGGAAGCAAAAGCAAGAAAATGCAAAGAGGCAGAGGGCAGAAAAGCAAAGAAGCAGAAAGGTAGAGAAGCAGAAAAGCAAAGAACGAGAACAGAAAACAAGCAGAAAAAGATAGAAAAAGCAAAAGCACAAAGCAATGGCCAGAGAAACCAAGGAATCCAGAAAT